TAAGGAAGTAGATAATTGCCCAACTTTCCTTCTGAGGAGTGGCTGGTGGTTTTGAACCACCATCCTTCTGGTTAGCAGTCAAGGGATCATTCCCTGGAGAAGGATATCATGCTTGGTAAGTGGAAGGCCAACCTAAAAGGGGAAGGCCCTCAATGAGATGGACTCACACAGTGACTACAATGGGCTCAGGTATAGCAAGGATTATGAGGCTGGTGCAGGAACAGACAGCCACTCCTTGGAAGGAAGGTTGGGCAATCCTACTTCCGTAGTGATATTGCCTCGGAAACCCAAGGAGGGGTCGCTATGAGTCGGGGCCGACTCCACCGCACATAACAACAACAGCAGGAACAGACAGTGTTTCATTGTATTGTACATAGGGTCACTATAGGTCAGAGCTAACTCAATGTCACCTAACAACAACAACAGTTTGAATATGTGATTAAAGGGGTTTTATATGGCCACAAATGTGAGGATAGTACAGGAATGAGTAGTGCTTCCTTCTGTTGTACATGGGGTTGCTATGAGTTGAAACCAATGTGAAAGCAGCTAACAACAACAAAGGGCTGTTACAAGATAATTATCTTAAACATTTCCTGAGGCTGTTGAGGGGGACTTCTGATAAGGATCTCGTGTCAGCCTTCCCTTAAGCCTATTAAAAACATTTATCTTGTTATGTCTTAAATCCGCTTAAACGTTTGATTAATACAGAATTAAAATGCTGGTAATAGGAATGTGAATGGTGGAAACAAACATCAGTAGTTGGAAACAAAGAACAAGCATAGGTAGTTGGAAAATATGGCCTTGGTGACAGAAATAGTGCTTGATGCCAGAGATTACATTGTAGAATTTTTCGAGAGCACTACTTATTCATTGCAAATATGTTTCTTTTTCAACAACATCAATGGCCACTATATACATAGACCTTGCCTAATCAAACAAACAGGAATTGAATTGACTGTTGTTGTTGTTAAGTGCCATCATCAAGTTGTTTCCGACTCATAGCGACCCCATGCACAGCAGAACGAAACACTGCCTGATCCTGTGCCAGCCCCACAATCCCTGCTAGACTTGAGCCCATCATCGCAGCCACAATGTCAATCCATCTTGTTGAGGGCCTCCCCTCTTTCGTTGACCCTCCACCTTACCAAGCATGATATCCTTCTCCAGGGAATGGTCCCTTCTTACAACATGACCAAAATAGGTGAGACAAAGTCTGGCCATTCTTGCTTCCAAGGAGCATTCTGGCTGCACTTCCTCCAGGACAGAATTGACTACATCTGTGGAAAGAGACAAAGAAGCAGCTCAGTATCATTAGTCAGAGCAAGGCCAAGGGCTGACTGTGGGACAGACCATCATTTGTTCATATGCAAGTTTCAGTTGATACTGAAAAAATTAAAACAAGTACATGTGAGCCAAAATACAACCTAGAATACAAACAAAACCAAACCATTGCCGTCGAATCAATTCTGACTCATCGCAATCCCCATTGGTTTTCCAAGGCAGTAAATCTTTACGGAAGTATATTACTCTGTCTTCCCTCCGTGGAGTGGATTTGAACAGACAACCTTCTGTATTTAGGCACTACACCATCTGTTTTTAGAGACCATCTGAATATCAGATTTGATGCACTGAACACCAATGACTGAAGAGCAGGTGAGTTGTAAGATAACATCAAGGACATCAAACATGAAGGAACCAAGAGATCATTAAAAAGATAAGAAAGAAAGAAAAGACCAAAATAGATATCACAAGAGACTCTGAAACTTGCTCTTGAATGAAGAATAGCTAAAGCAAATGGAGATTATGATAAAGTAAAAGATTTGAACAGAAAATTTTAAAGAGCAGCTTGAGAAAACAAATAGAAGATTTATAAGGAAATGTGTGAAGACCTGGAGTTAGGTAATGAAAAGAGAAGACTTGCTCAGCATTTCTTAAGCTGAAAGAACTGAAGAAAAAATTCAAGCTTCCAGTTGCAATACTGAAGGATTCTATGGGCAAAATATTGAATAGTGCAGGAAGCATCAGAAGAAGATGGAAGGAATACATAGAGTTTGTTCTAAAAAGAACTGGTGGATGTTCAACAATTTTAGGAGGTAGAATATATTCAAGAACAGTTAATATTGAAGGAAGAAGTCTAAGCAGCACTGAAGCCATTGACACACACACACATGCACACACAAAACAAGCCTTCAGGAATTGATGGAATACCCATTGAAATGTTTCAGCAGATGGATGTAACTTTGGTAGCACTCTCTCATCTATGCCAAGAAATTTGTAAGACAGCTTCTTGGCCAATCAACTACAAGATATCCAAATTTGTGCCTATTTCAAAGGAAAATTATCCAACAGAATGTGGAAATTATCTAACAAAATCATTAATATCACACTCAAGTAAAATTTTGCTGATAATAATTCAAAAATGGTTGTAGTAGTACATCTACAAGGAACTGCCAGAAACTCAAGCCAGATTCAGAAGAATATGTGGAAGGAGGGATATCATTGTTGGTGTTAGGTTTTTGTCTGAGAGCAACAAATACCAGAAAGATGTTTACCTTCATTTTATTGACTATGCAAAGACACTTGACAGTGGAGATCACAACAAATTATGCATAATATTGCAGAGAATATAAATTCCAGGACACTTAATTATGCTTATGAGAAACCTGTACATAGATCAAGAGGTAGTTCAAACAGAACATATTGCATGGTTTAAACTGAGGAAGGGTGTGCATCAGGGTTGTATCCTTTCACCATACTTATTCAACCTGTATGCTTGGCAAGTAATCTGAGAAGCTGGACTCTATGAAGAAGAATGGGGTATCAGAATTGGAAGAAGACCATTAACAACCTGTGATATGCAGGTGACATAATCTTGTTTGCTAAAAATGAGGAAGACTTGAAGCACTTACAGCTGAAGATCAAAGACTACAGCCTTCAGTATAGATTACACTTCAGCACAAAGAAAACAAAAATCCTCACAACTGGGCCCATATTCAACATCATGATAAATGGAGAAAACATTGAAGTTATCAATGATTTCATTTTATTTGTACCCACAATAAATGCCTATGGAATCTGTAGTCAAGAAATCAAACAATGTATTGCATTGGATAAGTCTGCTGCAATAGACCTCTTTAAAGTGTTAAAGAGCAAAGTTACCACTTTGAATACCGTCTGTGTCAGGACCTTCTCTTAGCTCAAAGAGAAAACAATTTCTTAGTCACAAGCTTTTAACTTGCCTTCAGGGTCATTGGATTGTCAAAGAAGTTAGCCTGAGTCAAGGTGGAGTCTGAACTCAGGTTCAGACCACCACTAACTTTGGTTGATCGTCTTCATTTTAGGTGTCCCACACATACCCTTTTGGGTAATGAAGATGCATGAACTTGTAACAAAATGAGGTTGGGCCTACTCCTAAGCAACTACCCCAAATATGTCAGTCATCTCTGTTGTGACACTCTTATTCAATGGGTTTGTTTTTTGGGGTTTTAAAAGTCTTCATGGTCTCCTCCCAATTTCTTCTGTGCCACCTCATCTTTGTCCCTTTACCTCTGGCCTTAACTCCTACTAATTCCAACCAACTCATTTTCCTCCACTATACCAGGCTCTTACATAATTCACGTCTTTGCTTAAATGTCACCTTTATGATAAGACTTCCTTGAGTCCTTTATTTAAAATTCATCACACCACCAAACACAAACACAAACACATTCTTCTCCTGTTCCTGCCTTACTTTTCTCCCTAATAGTCATCATTGTCCAATGTGCTTCATATTTATTACTTATTTTCTATGCTCTCCTATTAGCGAGTACCTGGGTGGAGCAAATAAGCTCTCATGCTTACTAGCTGGGAGACTGGAAGTTCAAACTCACACAGTGTGCCTTGGATGACAGGCCCTTTGATCTGTTTCTGAAAGGTCACAGCACTGAAAAACCAAGGGAGAAGTTCTACTCAGCATACATGAGATTGCCATGAGTTGGAGCTGACTCCAGAGTAACCAACCATCAACAACAACCCTCTAGAATGGAAACACTTTAAGAGATGTGTCAGTTTCATTTACAGTAAGTACTTTGGTATCCTGGAGAACAATGCTTAGTACCAAGGAAATACTAAACAAATATTTATTTGATGAATGAAGGAATAAATTGTAACAACTCTCACCTAACTGATAAGTTTTTCAAAGTATTTTTGCTATTTATTCTATGTAGAAATTATCTACATGATTATCAGCATTGTTGACCTTAGATATGCATTATTCCAGAGAGAATAACATGCTTTAAACTTTCTTTATTTCCATTCACTCAGTTTTAAAACCAAAACGGTATTTGTTCTGTGATATTAATGATGGTGATTGGGGGAGGGGGAGGAGGTAGAATGCATTTCTAGGGAGGATGACAGTTAAAAATCTTAGCAGGATGCTCAAGGAAACCAAAGAATTTGTAGCTGTGGCTGCTTGGTTCTTGAAGTCAGCCTGGTTTAGTAAGCAGTGAAAGAAGAAAACTGCAGGATGTTTTCTTGAACAATCTTCTGATGTAACTCTGTTTACTGTTTTCGTGTCAGTACCCAAGAGGAGCTTTCGGCCACCAGACTCTCACAACCTGTTTGTTTCCAGTCCCTGCACGTGGGGAGAAAAGCTCAACTACCTTCCGGGCGTCCGCCAAGAGCTCTGGACTTCACTCCCTCACTTGGCCGCTGCAGGGCCTCACGCCCACGCTGCGCATTCCAGTTGGCCTCAGTGGCAACAGGTAAGGCGAGGCGGAGCGCCAACTGTACCTACGCTGGGCGATCGTGTCTGGCCGGCGTTTGGCGCCCTATGTGCTCACTGCAGCGCCGCACTCACAGAGGAGGGTCCCGGCGGAGGCGGCAAGAACCTTAGAAGTGAGGCGACAAAATCAGATTGGTCCCGCACGGGGGCGCTGTCACCTGTCCATGGGAGGAGCCACAGCGGGAACTGGTTTTTTTGCTGCGCTGAGGGACCAGAGTCAGGAGAACCTGTTCAGACCATGAAGAGCGTCAAAGGCATCGAGAACCCGGCTTTCGTCCCTTCCAGCCCGGACACTCCGCACCGTTTATCTGCATCGCCCTCTCAGGTCGAGGTTTCTGCCTTATCCTCTGACACGCAGAAAGAGGATTCGCAGCTGCAGGAGCCTCAGGAGCCCCAGAAGCGTCCGGAGCCACTGGAGCTGTATCCTTCGGCACCTCCTTCCCAGGAAGGATCTGAGCCACTTTCGGTATCAGAGTTTGAGGAGGGGCCGTGCGGTTGGGGGAGTTTCCATCCGGAATGTCTCCAGCCCTGCAACTCGCCCCGGGGATACTTGCTTCACTACTGCCTTTTGGCTTTCACACAAGGTAGGGCTCAGCGCTCCCTGGAGAGGGCGTTGTTCAAAAGGAGAGCGAGGAGGGGGCTCAGAGAAATGGCAGGGGGCAGAGGTCAGGTGCTAGAGGGATCTACCGGTGTTAAGAGGCCATGCAAGGCGACAGGGACTTGGAACTTGAAAGCATTCTCACCACTTCAGCCCTACCAGGTTCAAGCTTCCTTTTTTGAGCTTCTCTTTTACTGCAACAATTAAAACTTGTTTTTTTTTTTTTTTTGTTTGTTTGTTTTGTTTTGTTCTCTTGTTAGACCTCAGTTTAGCATAGTCGATTCTTCCAGGCAAGATGACTGTATCCCCTGAGGAAATCTATTCCACATCACAAAAGCATACATTTTCCTGAGTCTCATACTAAAGAGATTTTTGAAATTGTTTCTGACATTAAATGGTTAATACTTTCACAGAAGAGAGTCAGCAATTCTTCAAAGGAAAAAAATGTATTTTACATATATAGTGCAGATTAGAAATATGCATTAATGTTTTGTAAATAATTTGAGTGTTTGTGAACACAGGTGATACCCAGTGGGCAAATTAGGAAAGGCTTCGGGCATTGTTAAAGGGTCAGCATTTATTAGTCATTCAATCACAAAAGAGTTAATGCAGTAATCTGTTTTCTTCGAGGATCTCTTACATTCTCTTGGGAGTTACAGATTAAGCCCAGGTGTATACCCTCAGGAGGTTGCAAGGTTTGGAAGAGAAGTCATACAGTAGAGGGCAAATGGGCCCTGTGGAAGAAAGCATGAAGTGAAAACTGCTTAAGGTGGTGCTTTTGATAAGGAAATTAAAAAATTAGGAAGAAACAATCCCACTACCATTGAGTCGAGTTTCTGAAGCTGTAAATTTTTACAGAAGTATATTGCCTTATATTCCTTCTGTAGGATGGCTGATGGTTTTGAATCTCCAACTTTGTGCTTGGATTTCCCAGGTGGTAAATCTTTACAGAAGTAAACTGCCCGGTCTTCCTTCCATGGAGTGGCTGGTGGGTTTGAACCACCAACCTTCTGGCTACCAGTCAAATGTCTTAGGCACTGTACCACCAGAGTTCCTAGGAAAAAAGAAGAGAGTGAGAAATTAAAGAAAGGAAGGCACACAGCTCCCTTGGTTATAGGGAGCTCTGGTGGTATAGTGATTAAGGCATTTGGCTACTAACCAAAATGTCGGTGATTGGAACCCACCTACTCCTTCATGGAGGAAGTCTGGTTCCATAAAGATTTACAGCCTTAGTAATGAAATGGGGGTCACTATGAATCGAAATAGACTCCATGGCTGTGAGTTTAGTTCTGGTTTTGGAGTCCTAGATGAAAGTGCTTAACAAATTCATTCATGCTTACCAGTTTAATTTGAATGTCTACAAACATTGCGAGATTTCTAAAATGTTTATTTGGAAAACTGTTTCCATAGTATGTTAATAGATGTTTAATGGGGCAAAAGGCCGCTGGGTGGCACAAATTGCAGAGAAGAGGCCATTTCTTCCCCAAAGATTGTTGTTGTTAGGTTCCCTCAAGTCTCTACTGACTCATAGAGACCCTATGTACCACAGAATGTAAGGCTGCCTGGTCCAGTACCATCCTCACAGTCATTGCCATACTTGAGTCCATTGGCACAGCCACTGTGTCAATCAATCTCATTGAGGATCTTCTCTTTTTTCACTGATCCTCTCTTTTACCAAGCATGATAACCTTCTCCAGAGACTGGTCCCTTCTGACAACATGGACAAAGTACGAGAGACAAAGTCTAGCCATTCTCAATTCTAAGGAGCATTCTGGCTGTACTTCCAAGCCAGATTTTTCTTATGGTGGTCCATGGTATTTTCAATATTCTTTACCACCACAATTCAAATGCATAGATTCTTCTGTGGTCTTCCTTATTCTCTAGCTTTCACATGCATATGAAACTCCTAAAATACTATAGCTTGGATCAGGCACACCTCTTTAAGACTCTAAAGAGGACTTTTACAACATTTTGCCCAGTGCAATATCCTTTGATTTCTTAACTGCTCCTTCCATGACAGTTGATTGTGGATCCAAGTGAAATGAAATCCCCAATAATTTCAAACTTTTCTCCATTTATTGTGATATTGCTTATTGGTCCAGTTGTGAGGATTTTAGTTTTCTTTATGTTGAGGTATAATCCATACTGAAGGCTATTGTCTGTGATCTTCATCAGTAGGTGCTTCAAGTCCTCTTCACTTTCAGCAAGCAAGGTGGTGTCATCTGTATTATCGCAGGCTGTTAATGAGTCTTCCTCCAATTCTGATGCCATGTTCTTCTCCACATAGACCAAACCAAACCAAACTCACTGATATTGAGTTGATTTGACTCATAGCGACCCCTCCTTGGGTTTTTGAGGTGGTATCTCTATGGAAGTAGATTGCCCATCCTTCCTTCTGAAGAGTGGCTGGTGGGTTTGAACCACCAGCCTTCTGGTTAGCAGTCAAGTGCCTTAGGCACTACGCCACCAGAGCTCCCTCATATAGTCCAGCTTCTCATATTATTTGCTAAACATACAGACTGAATAAGTATGGTGAAAGGATATAACCCTGAGACACACCTTTTGTAATTTTATACCATAAAGATTAAAACCAAGAAAACTACTCAGTAACACATGTGGTCACCGTGAATCAGAATCAATTTGATGACAACTGGTTTGTTTTTTTCCAATGGGGAAAAATTATGTCAAATTAACTTATTTGTCTCAGGATTTCTTAAATGCTCAGTCAAGGTTTCTCTTTACATTAATGTGCCTTCAATTTTCATATTATTACAATAGAGACATAGTATGCAGTATTTTATAGATTATTTATTTATTTTTAAAGTATAGTTCTTGGCTCTTGGGTAGCATAGAATTCACTTATGATTCATAGGCTTAATGAGCTATTCCAGAGGAATTTATGAATTATTTTTTTTTTTAAGTTTTTCCATTATTGCAATGCTTTCTAATGACTGATTTTTAGACAGATTGGCAAGTGTGTTAGAGTTGATTTTTAGTTAGAGAAATTTTTTTATTCTCAGATAAGTTTATCTGCTTATAAAAGTGTCATTCCTAGATAACTTAGATACTTTATTTTGAAACCTCAGGAATTATAATTTGATTTATCCTTCTTTCCTGTTCCCATTGAGTTGATTCTGACTCATAGAGACCCTACAGGGCAGAGGTGAATGGCACCATAGGGTTTCCAAGGGTATAATCTTTATAGTAGCAGACTGCCTCATATTTCTCCAGAACAGCAGCTGGTGGGTTAGCAGTTAGCAGCTGAACACTTAACCACTGTAGGAGCAGCCTTCCTTAACAGACTAATTAAATGGGCATAAAACTAAAATAACATTAAATCTTGTGAAGCCTGTTATATCACCTTTCTAGAAATTTATTTTCAGTTCAAGTCTAGATAGAGCAAAATTTCAATGATTACTGGTTTGTGTATACTCTTTCCCTTAATTAATGAAAACAATTCATGATATCTAAAAAGAGGTAATTTATAGTTTGATCAAATGCTTTTTTATTTTTATTTTGTGTTAACTTTAAATTTCTGTAAGTTTATATCTGGACAGGACATTTTTGTTAAGTTAGTCAAAACTGTATTGTCAGCCTTTTATTGCTTAGCATCTAATCCTCCATCATAGTATATTAGATGAATAGATTAAAGTTTTTTTTGTTTGTTCCATTTGGTGTTTGCTTTTACATTGTGTATAACTTAGAATGCTAGTGGTTAAAATAAGACTCAGCTTATGTTTACTTTTTGTTCTGCTATCTTTAACTCTATAAGACCAAAACCAACCAAACTCACTGCCGTGGAGTCAGTTCCAACTCATAGTGACCCATCCTTGAGTTTCCAAGGTGGTATCTCTACGGAAATAGATTGGCCAGTCTTCCTTCTGTGGAGTGACTGGTGGGTTTAAACCCACCAGTCTTTTGGTTACCAGTCAAATGCCTTAGGCACTATGTCATTTATGAAGGAGATCACCTTGACCTAGACTTAAGAAAGAATGAGTTGTCGAATCTCTTTTTTTTCTAACACTCTTATAGAATCATAATTCTATAACTCCTATAAGAGTGTTAGAAAAAAAGAGATTCGACAACTCATTGTTTCTTAAGACTAGGTCATGGTGATCTCCTTCATAAATAATTATTTTTAAGGATTGATAAATTTGGGAAGAAATAATGACCTGAAGGATCACCTGTACTTTTTGTACTTGGTTCTAAATGAGGCTTAAAGAGTGTGCCACATTTGAAACTCTCTAGTAACTTGGTGTCGTAGAATTTTTCCAGTCTGACTTTGGGTTTATCTTTTAAAGAAAAATTAGTTAAACCCAATTAACTGCAACTTAATATGTAGCATGCATCAATTTTAACACCTAAAAATTCACAAACTACAATTTAAAAGTGAACTGCAATTTTCAAGGAGGTAAGCTTAACTTTGCGACTTTGAGCTTTTAAAACTTGGTGCATTTAAATGTGTGGAAAGAAATGAAAAATCAAACTTTAATACACTGTGTTAATAATCATAATATATATGAAAAAGTGATAATGATATACACACATTTTCTTTTCTTTTAGGTGTTGTAGTAAATGGCCTAGTAAATGTTAGCATTTCTACTATTGAGAAGCGCTATGAAATGAAGAGTTCCCTGACGGGCCTGATATCATCAAGCTATGATATCTCATTTTGTGTGTTGTCTTTATTCATATCATTTGTGGGTGAAAGAGGACACAAACCAAGATGGCTTGCATTTGCATCCTTTATGATTGGACTGGGAGCACTTGTATTTTCTTTGCCACATTTTTTCAGTGGAAAGTATCAACTGGGGTCCATTTTTGAAGGTAAGTTTTTGTTGTTTGCTTTGCTTTGTTTTAACTTACAGAAGTAATACAAAAGTAAGTCATTAACTCTATACTGCAATTTATTGATATAGATAAATGGGGAAAAGATTTAAGTATCTTCCACTGATTACTGCTTTGTTCCCTATGTGAATTGTGTTGAGTAGCAGATTATAGATTTTTCATCACTTCAGTGGTTCTCCAAATTGTTAATCCTCTTTCTCATTCCCCATATTATACACAGTCCTCCTCCAAAACAACATCACCTGCTTTCCTTTGCAGGTGTTGTGATCTCATTGAGTATTGAGATCTATAGTCTTTCCCTTTGTGATTATGTTTACTGTGCTTATACATTGCATCCTGGAGGTGTTGATTTCTGATTTAAGAGAAAGAGTGGGGAAATCTTCCTAAAGACTAAAACTCGCTCTGTTTTGGCCTCTATATAGTTTAGAGACAAAGAAATTTATGAATTGCCTTAAGTGTTGCCCTGGTTAGATAAAGAACTGCATTATTTCTGATGAAGAAGTGATTATTTATATTTATAATTTATTTTCAAAGAGTTGTTTTTAATGGAAAAATGATTATGGGAGAGCTAGAGAAAGGTGATAATGGTACTGCATCTTAGCATTTTTACTGTCCTTCCTGGTACTTTTCATAGCAAATGTTGAAATAATTTTGAACAAAATCAGAGGGTTACAAATTCAGATGCTTCAGTGGTTAGTTAAGTGAAGGCATAACTTAGCATAAGAAGAGAAAGGAAAATTAGGGCCTGCTTCTCTGTAAGTATCATTTTTTTAAAAAAGTTGAGATTGTTATATTTGTGTGTATTAATAATGAAAAGTAATATTAAAGCTAATTGAATCTAGGAACAATTTCCCAATTATATAATAACAACAAATAGAAAAAAAATATATAACAAAGTACATGTGTCTACCATATGTTCTGTGAAATAGTATGTTATGTAATTTGGACATTGTGTGAACAATATATTGTATATAGTACATATGTTTGTATATATCTGATACACATATATCAAAGTAACCCCCTCACAGGCTACAGTGGCTCTCCTTTAGCTCTAGAGCTTGGGGGTTCACAAACTTGCACCTGTAATTGGCTGTCTCTGGGTGCACTGCACTCTTTTAGTAGGCCCTGGGAGGCATGGTCAAAATCAGAAGCCCCTATGGATACAGCAGAGCTGACTGCAGCCCAGCATCTGTCGGTAAGCACTGACTGGGATTGGTCAGGGCACGAGCCAGTAGCAGTCGCTGTAGCTGGGGGGCTGCAAGCCCTGCCATGGTGGCTGGAAGGCTGTAGCTGGAGGCTAAAAACTCAATATATGCCCTGCTTCCTCTTGGTTCCCTTCCAAGCAAGACCCTCCTTCTGTCCTACAGTTGAATATGGGGTTGGTCATTGTCTAACGAATGTTATGTGGCACATACATGTGAATATTATGCAGTATAGTTTTAGAAATACACTGATTACATAAGTAGACTTCATTTTGGAAGTAAAAATAAAATATGTAAGTGGTCAGATGAATAGAGGCTGCATTTTAAAATGTAGTAGTGTTTGGAATGGATGAGGTACTGTTATCAGTGAAAAGAACACTTTTTAGATAACATCAACTTTATATAATTTCATTGGAAGAAGTTTTGGTAACATGGCACATATTGTGGCATAGGTTGTAATATAACCTCTTTAAAAACCAAATAACCAAACCGATTGTGAGTCAGTTCTGACTTAATAGTAATTGTTCCATAAGGTTTCCAAGGCTGTAATCTTTATGGAAGCAGATTGCCACATCTTTCTTCCATGGAGCAACTGGTGGGTTCAAACTGCTGACTTTCTGGTTGTCAACTGAGTGCTTAACCACTTGTTCTGGTTACCTAGTGCCATTCTGACAAGAAACATGCCACCTATGGGATGGCCTTAACAAATGGGAGTTTATTCTTACAATTTGGGAGCTTTAAGTCCAAGTTCAGAGTTCCAGGCTCTAGGAGCTGAGCCTGGTGAAATATCAGCTGAGCAATTAACCACTGCACCACTAGGTCTCCTTGAAAACTAAAGAGTAGAGAAAAATATCAATTTTAATCTGACACAGAAAACATGATACTGATTGTAAGACTGCAGAAATGTTATTGTGTTTATAATATTTAAGTGGCAATCTTCTTGCTGCTTTGAGTCCCTCGCTCTTCCAGTTGATCAGATAACCTTCTTGTTCTTAAAGTGAGCAAACCTTGCAAAAAAGTCAGAGTTTCTAAACCAAAACAAATTTCCTAGTCCAGTGTAAAAGCTTGATATATCCTCAGTAATCATTTTACCTTCATCTCTTTGAGCTAATCTATAAAATTTATGTTTCCCTAAGAGAAATGGGAGCTCTGGTAGCGTAGTGGCTAAGACACTTGCCTGCTAACCAGACGGCTGGCGGTTCAAACCCACCAGCCACTCCTCGGAAGGAAGGTTGGGCAATCCTACTTCCGTAGTGATACTGCCTCGGAAACCCAAGGAGGGGTCGCTATGAGTCAGGGCTGACTCGACGGCACATAACAACAACAACAACAACAAGAGAAATGGCCAACAAATTAAGGTATGTGTGTGGCCAGAGGTAAAGCTCAGATGATTACTGAAGCCAAACATAAAATTTTAATACATTACTGCTTACTCTGCAAAAAAAAAAAAAAACAAAAACTCACTGCCATTGAGTCGGATCCGACTCACAGCAACCCCTCCTTGCGTTTCCGAGGTGGTAACACTATAGAAGTAAATTGCCCAATTTTCCTTCCAAGGAGTGGCTGGTGGGTTTGAACCACCAGCCTTCTGTTTAGCAGTCAAATGCCTTAGGCACTATGCCACCAGATCTTGTTACCTGCTTAATATATATTTTGTATTTTAGTGGGAGCAGTTTAGATACAGGAATTGGCTGATCTGTAAAATTGTTGTTCCAGGACTCATAATTTAAACAGTATCTTGTTAGTATTGGCTATCAAGTCAATTCTGACTCATGGTGACCCCATGTGTGCAGAGTAGGGTTCTCAAGGCTGTGCTCTTTTGGACGTGGATTGACAGAACAGTCTTCTGAAACAACTTTGGGTGGGTTTGAACTGTCAACCTTTTGGCTAGCAGGCAAATGCTTAACTGTTTGCACCACCCAGAGACCTAAATCTCAGTCATTCCAAATGAAGGCGAAACCTCAATTTGTCCCTTTTTTCATTCTTACAACTAATGTTTATTGATAAGGAACTAGACACAGTGTTGGAACAACAGCAATGATACAATTTCCTACTGTCTCAGTTTTATGTACAGTTGAGGAAAGACATAATTAGTAAATTAGATAATGGAAGACTGAAGTGAATATATCAGGGAAACAAACAGCATGATGGAATAGGATACAAAAGGGTAAGTATGTGGGTCAGGGAAGGCTTTTGGATCATGAGGAGCTGGTCGTGAAAGATGCTATCCAGGGTGGACAGAAGCATGATCAAGGGCCTTGGAGCAGGAAATAGCTTGGTAGGATTTAGGCATTGCCAATTCTTGCCAATTTACCAAAACTAGGAAGAATATGGCATGAGATATACTTGGAAAAGCTGGGAGACTTTAGAGTGAGGCACTTAGATTTTTGCTTCAAGTACAAGAAGAAAGGGAAAGGTTTTAAGCAGGGAAGTGCAGTGCCATGATATTTTTTATATTTTAAAATGATCTCTTTTGCTTCTGTGGTTCTGAGGAACAAAAGTAAATGGGAAGACATCACTTGGGGCTTTCTTGCTATCGAAATATCTGTTGTTAGTCAGTGCCATTGAGTCAGCTCCGACTCATAGCAACTCTATGTACAACAGAATGGAATACTACCTGGTCATGCACCGTCCTCATCATCTTTCCTTGAGCCCATCGTTGCAGCCACTGTGTCAATCCATCTTGCTGAGGGTCTTCCCCTTTTGTGCTGACCCTTTACTTTATCAAGCATGGTATCCTTCTCCAGAGAATGGTTCCTTCTAATAACATGAACAAAGTAGGTGAGACTAAGTCTGGCCATTCTCACTTCCAAGCGGCATTCTGGCTGCACTTCTTCCAAGACAGATTTGTTTATTCTTCTTTCAGTCTATGGAATTTTCAGCATTCTTCTATAGTGAGAGATAAAGAGGACTGGGATGGTAACAGTTGAGATCTAGATAAGTGACTGATTCTAGAGGAACTTTAAGGGGAAAAAATAGGACTTTCTCCTGGTTTGATTGTGAAAGAGCAGTGAATAATGACTTCCTAATATTTGACTGGAGCAGCTGGGGACATTTATTAGAAAGTGGAAATATAGGTAGAGTAGAATTAGGAGTAGAAATCAAAATTTGGGTTTGGATTTTTTAAGTCTGAAAAATGTATTTACACCCAGTGTTGTAATACGTAGTCTCAAACATGTATGCTTACGTAAATATCCAAGTTGTTCTTCAGGATTGATTCCAAGACATGCAAATACTGCATTGAAGGATTTTTTCATTACAATTTTTGATATTGTCACATTGATTATTAGAAAAGGATATACCAGTTACTGTCCTACTAATAAGGAGCCCTGGTGGTGCAATGGTTAAATCACTAAGCTACTAAACCAAAGGTTTATGATTTGAACCTACCAGCGGCTCCATGGGAGAAAAGATGTGGCAGTCTGCCTCCATAAAGACTTAGTCTTGGGAACCTATTGATGTTGTTATTATATGCCGTCGAGTCGGACCCGACTCATAGCAACCCCTCCTTGGGTTTCCAAGGCAGTATCACTACGGAAGTAGATTGCTTCACCTATTAGGCAGTCCTATTCTTTCCTGTAAGGAGTTCTAGTGGCATAGTGCCTAAACCATTTGACTGCTAACCAGAAGGTTGGTGGTTCAAACCCCCCAGCCATTACTCGGAGGGAGGTTGGGGAATCTACTTTCATAGTGATACTGCCTTGGTAACCCAAGGAAGGGTCAGTATGAGTCCGGACCAACTCAATAGCAGTGAGGTTCTTTTTTTTTTTTTTTTTA